CCCCAAAACCCCAAAACCCCAAAACCCCAAAACCCCTTAAAATCACAATTTTGCTGAATTAATATATTTTAAAATGGATTATTTGCCTTCTGAAGACTCAGTTGTGATCAACCCTATTACCGGTAAGGATTAGAAGAGGTAATAAATAGGCAGCACTATGCTTGGAGCCAATATTAGTAGAGAGATATCTCCAAACAAGCCACAACCTGATGAAATTGCTTATATGAACAGAATAAGGCTACATGTCAAGAACCATCCTAGTCTTAAGGGCTCATTGACTATTGCTGACAAAGCTAGCTATGTTGGTCTTAAAGTAAGAGATCTAAACGTAATTTTCATTCTTAATATTATTACTTTTAGTTATTCCTCATAGGTTTGCCATCTTCTATTATTCTATAGTGAATTAAATTTTATTTATAGGGATACAATAATCATTCGAAGTATCTTAACTCCTCTATCAGAGGAAAAGAATTCAGGAAATAATAATGCTCTCTCAAACTCCATTGATGCAAGCTCAAGAATAAATGTAACTCAGAGGAAAATTCTAAGGAACAAGTCAGTGTAAGAAAGATGTACTTTCCTTTGTCTCATTTGGTCTAGAGATTTCACCAGTGGCCAGAGAAAAATGAATGTAAGCTTTAGCACATAACTTTCCAGATGCACACCTCTAAACTTACGGGAATTAAGAACCTAAATCTTCCAGTTAATAGCAGTAAAGATAAAAGATTACAACATTTACTGCAGCTTCGTGAGAAAGTTGATGAAGCAAAAATGCGTTCCTTGAAAAACTCAGATATAGAAGGAGCTTGCCCAAACCATTTTAGACATCGACCAAGAAAGTATTTTGTTGATCGAAAGGAAATTAAAAGTATATGAAACCATTCATATTTTTAGAAATTTTTAACCAAACACCTGGGAAATATCATGGATTCCTTAAGGACATCAACTCTGGAGGAACATATATAGCAGATAAGCCGGATCCTATCTTTAAATGGTCACTTAACAATAGCAAGGATCTCAACAATAGGTTTAACATGAAAAAGACTAAGTGGGCAAAGTAATTTAGAATTGTTTGACATTTTCTAGTCAGAAAAAATACACAAACTCTCTATCAGAAATAGCCAAAAATGCTAGTAAGGATTCTTTGAATTTGAGGCTTATCTCAAAAGCCCAGTAAAACTGCTAAGATAATTTTTGAGTTTAATGTATTATTAATAATTTTTTATCATAAATGCTATCTTATTCCGTCTAACTATTATCCCTAGTCCCGATTTGAATTACGAAAATCTTGTGATTCTCCCTAATTAACACTATCTTAGGCAAAAATAATTTGAACAAATCCCATGACTACACTTCAAGCACAAATGACTACCAAAATTACACCCCGATTAAAAATAGTTTGAAAATAAGAGAGATGTCAAAGAACAGCTCGTACGGAGAGATCCATTACCCTACAAAGCTGCTTTAAGAACTGACCTTCGTAAAACTTTCAATTTTGATAGACAAGAAGGGGTTTTGGGGTTTTGGGGTTTTGGGG